GCCAACGACTCATCAGGGTCGTTAATTATTCTAGGCTGGATTACTGTAATGCACTCCTCATCGGGATTCTTGGCAAGAATATCCAGAGAGTACAGTGCATCCAGAACAGCACTGACAGGATCCTGATGAGGGCGCACAAGCATGAGCACATCCCTCCCATTCTAAAAGCTCTTCATTGGCTTCCTGTGTCACTCAGAATACAATAAAAGGTTTGCCTCCTCTCCCACCAGTGCATTTATGGACACGCCCCTCACTAGATCTTTTCGGCTCTGCTCTGAGATTATGGAACGCCCTCCCTGCTCATCTAAGGGCTCCACAAACTGTCGATGCCTTTAAACAGGACCTAAAGACCTTTCTTTTTAGAAAAGCCTTTAGCTAAATTACAGGCCCCGTAATCGTAAAGTTGCCCTGCTCAGTTTGTCGCTGTCGTTGTGTCCTTGGGCAAGACACTTAACCCACGTTGCCTGTTGGTGGTGGTTGGAGGGACCGGTGGTGCCAGTGCTCGGCAGCCTCGCCTCTGTCAGTGCGCCCCAGGGCAGCTGTGGCTTCATTGCAGCCCATCAACACTGGAGTGTGAATGGGTGAAGGACTGATAGTGTTGTAAAGTGCCTTGGGGGTTCCAGGACTCTAAAGGTGCTATATCAAATACAGGCCATTTACCATTTAAATGTATTTTAGAGCTGCTAATTTTACTGTCTCCTCTTTATTAGTTGTGTGTTCTGTAGCACTTTGAGATTCCTGAAATATAAAGTGCATTATAAGGTAAATTTATTATATATTAGGCCTGGGAGCTTGAGGGTTCTGCAGTATCTCAGCTGTTCCTAGAGCTGCTCTTTTCTGGACTGAGATGTCTTTCCTGGATCTGCTTTAGCCACCCCTCCAGTCTGGGGGTTACTGCCCCAAGTGCCCCGATGACCACAGGTACCACCAATGTCTTCACTCTCTAGGCTTTCTTAAGTTTTTCTGCGAGGACCTGGTACTTCTCTAGTTTCTCGTTTTCCTTTATCCTGATGTTGCATCACTTGGTATCGCCACATCAGCCACAACATCTGTCCTCTGTTGTTTGTCCACCACCACAATGCCTGGTTGGTTCTCCATCACCATGTTGTCAGTCTATATCTGGAAGTCCCACAGGAGCTCGGCTCTCTCGTTCTCTACCGCCTTAGGGGGTGTTTCCCACTTTGACCTTGGGGCTTCCAGTCCATACTCTACACAGATGTTCCTGGACATGATGCCAGACACTTGGTTGTGGCGTTCCATGGATGCTTTCCCTGCCAGCATCTCTCACCCTGCAGTTATGTGGTGGACTGTCTCAGGGGCCTCTTTGATAGCCTACACCTTGGGTCTGGTCTGGTCTGGTAGATCCTGGCCTCTGGTGTTCAGGGCCTGTTCCTGTGCAGCCATGATGAGAGCCTCTGTGCTGTCCTTCAGACCAGCTCCTTCTAGCCATTGGTAGGATTTCTTGATATCAGCTACTTCAGTTGTTTGTCTGGTACATCCCATGTGGGGGTTTGTCCTCCCCGTGATGGTATTTCAGCACCTCCTCCTCTGTTCACCATTGTCTAAAGCCTAATTTATACTTGTCTAAACTGCAGGTAAACAGTTCCACACCTGCTCAGACTCTTTTTTTTTCATACTGAAATTTAACAATTTTTTTGTGAAGCGCTTCGTGATTTTTATCTTGACAGGCGCTTCATTAAAGATTGTTTTCTTTCTTACGTCTCCATCTGCATCAGGACGAACGCACGCAATGCCATTATCCATCCTTTCAGGGGCTCTCCAACAGGCTCGCAAGGACGGTCGAAGTGGAGCTCTCTTTTCTAAACTTCCGTCTGATGAGACGGAGAACGCAAGCTTGCGATTGGTCAGGATGTCGCTACCGTCTCCAGTACTGCCATAGCGCCCTCAAAAACATAAAGAAAGCCAAAGATATCTAGCGGCAGCTGCTTGAAGAATACCTCACCGAAAAACTCTCAGATATGAATGTTTTATTCACCCGTGACTGGAGGAGTAAAAAGATATGCAAGCATTTTATTCGTGGATGGAAATGATGGGAAACGTGGGTTTAGAGGTGGCGAGGGCATGAAGAGGTGGAGAAGGATGAGAGACAAATTTGTTACTGTTAAAAGTCTCTAAAGTACAAAAAAACAATATAAACACAGTAGTAAACACACTTTCCTGAACCGGGTACATGATAGGATACCCTAGAACAGTGCTACGCACTCTGGTGTCCTGGCGGGGAAGTGCTTTGCAACAGTCCCCAGGAGACGAAGAAGTCCAAAGGCAAACGTCTCTCCCTCGTGGAGCTGACAGAGAAGTATAAATTAGGCTAAAGTCATTAACTGAGCACGTCATCTGCTGGGGCCTTATCCTTGACGTACTAATGGATCTTATGGATCACATTACAAGTGCCCTAAAATACCACTAAGCTGCAGACATGTTAGCTCTTCATTAGCCTGCTAGCTAACAGCTGCATCCTGGTGTCTGAATCCCTGCCTACCTTAGATTATGTGATGCTACTGTGCTCTTTTCTTACAAGCAACAAATTATACTGATGTAGAGGAATGCATTGAAATTAAAACTAAACAATTATTATTCCATTAGAAAATCTCTGTTTTACGATGAATTCAAAATGTCCTGTTTGATGTTTAAAAGGTTAAATCTGGTCTTTTCCTTCTGATCCTTTTGAAATAACGTGTTTGGTCATCCCTACTGATGAGGATATTGTATACAGAATAGAATAGAAGAGCCTTTAATGTCGTTGTACAAGGTACAGTGACATGGAAGAGCCACTCCCTCTGGCGTAACTTGTTAAAGAATACAGGAAAATAATACAGAATCATTTAAATGTAAAATCAACAGTAATATTTACACAGAGCTGCAGCATTAGTCAGGTTTCTGTGCAGGTCACTAGTGTAAGCAGAGTTTTATCAAATTGAGAAAACACAAACAGCACATATAAATGCTATTGCACATCATCAATATTGAAACAGCAGATGTGTGGTTTGGGAAACAGTAAGAGTGTGGTTTGGCTTAGCAGGTTCTTCTGGTCCTGTGGTTCACTACGGTGATCGCTCTGGGAAAGAAGCTATCCCTGAATCTATTTGTCTTGGTTTTATGTGACCGGTACCATCGGCCTGACAGTAACAGATCAAACAGAGGGATACTGGGGTGACAGTAGTCCTTGATGATATTGCCTGCTCTACCGAGGTAGTGAGAGTTGGTAATCTCCTCCAGGCTGGTCAGAGAGCAGCCAGTGATCTTCACGGCTGTGCTGATGACCCTCTGCAGTACTTTCCTGTCTGCAACTGAGCACCTGCATACCATATTGTGATGCTGTACGCTAGGATGCTCTCCATCCGTGCATCTCTTTTCCACGTGTAAAAAACATGCACCAAGCATAAACCAAGACTGATAGGGACAGAGAGAGTAAAGATAGAGCGCAAGATCAACAGGTGGATTGGTGATGCATCTGCAGTGATGCAGGCGTTGTACCAATCTATCCTGGTGAAGAGAGAGCTGAGCCGGAAGGCAAAGCTCTCGATTTACCAGTTGCTACCCTCACCTATGGCTACGAGCTTTGGGTAGTGACTGAAAGAACGAGATCACGGATACATGCGGCTGGAATGAGTTTTCTCCACAGAGTGGCTGGGCTCTCCCATAGAGATAGGGTGAGAAGCTCGGTCATCCAGGAGGGGCTCGGAGTAGACTCGCTGCTCCTCCACATTGAGAGGAGCCAGTTGAGGTGGCTTGGTCATTTGGTCAGGATGCCTCCTGGTGAGGTTTTCCAGGCACATCCAACTGGGAGGAGGCCTAAAGGGAGACCCAGGACACGCTGGAGGGATTATGTCTCTCAGCTGGCCAGGGAATGCCTTGGGATTCCCCCAGAGAAGCTGGCCCAAGTGGCTGGGGAGAGGGAAGTCTGGGCCTCTCACCTTAGGCTGCTGCCCCCGTGGCCTGACCCCAGATAAGTGGCCAAAAATGGATGGATGAACTTTCAGAGTGAGCCTCGTTTTTGGAATTAGTTTGCTTTGTGGAACAGCCCTCAGGTCTTAAAATAAGGGTCATGTTTACTGATTGATCTATTAGAATTTCACAGTTCACTGAAACCTGGTGCTGTTTTTGTGCAGTTCTGTAAAGACCACGAGATAGAATACCTAACGGGTCGTGTTTGGATCGGCTTCTGGTTGGTGCTGATTGCCATCGTCACTGTGGCTTTTGAAGGAAGTCTCTTGGTTCGTTTTGTGTCTCGATTTACTCAAGAAATCTTCTCCTTCCTCATTTCCCTCATCTTCATCTATGAGACCTTCGCCAAACTGGTCAAGGTGAGTTCTGGTTTCTGTTTGAACAGATGAGAGGCTTTTAATGTGTGTAAATAGTAAATACATGTCATCCACACTTTGGAGGTTCTTGGTGTAGTCTTATAATTTCTACCTCCTGGGACTTCAATTGCCTACTTTAAACTTCTGTGTTGCTTTCTCAGATATTCAAGGAACATCCACTCCAAAACTGTTACCATGGAAACACCACAATGTCTTCATCTCAGCACAATCAAACTCTGATCACTGGGAGTCCGAGGAAGGTTGTTGGAGGGCCAAACACAGCGTTGCTATCTTTGGTCCTCATGGCGGGAACATATTTTATTGCTTTCTACCTGCGAAAGTTCAAGAATAGCTCCTTCTTTCCAGGAAAGGTGAGAAAGTACAGGTACAAGTTGAAATGCCTACAGGTACACACTGGTTATGTTACTTCCAGTCCAGTTTAGCAGACAGAAGACAATGAGGTGATCTGATGAACTGAAACTTAGCAAAGTGATCAACAGTTCAAAGTCCTGAATGACATTTATAAAGCTTGCTTACGCACAAAACGGGGTCGGAAAACTGCGTGAGCAACTTTCCACGCAAACTTTGGGATTTGTAAAAGAAAACGTAGCAGAAAAACGTGTGCACACACACGCACACAGCCTGAAGCGCAGCCTGCCCTCGACATGCGGAATATCAGCAGGGGGCCAGATTGAGACAGAATGTCATGCATCATTTATAGAACCAACACAGAAGGCATGATTTTCATCTTTTATTTTCTTGCCAATTTTTTAAGTGTTCCTGAAATTTCAGTCAGGACATCACATATTCTGTGCTCTTCTTTTTGCACTAATCATGCCCCTCTGTGCCTGCAGGACAGTGTCAGTTAGCGCCCGGGGTGGGGTGGGGGGATTTGGTTTTGTTTTAATTTGATCTGTATTAATAAAAGGCTTAGATGTTACCAGTCTCCTCTGCTTTGTCAGTGTCTCCTCCTTCTCCGGCACGATGCCAGGCACGCTTGCCAGTCCCAGTACTGCTGAGATCCTAACGGCGAGCAGTGGGAGATCAGAGGTGCCAGGGCCTCCGCCAGTGGCAGACACACTCTGGCAGTGGCAAAACATCTTTATTTTTGCCTCCACCTTCAGATCGGGCATTTTTTTATATCCGCCCTAGATCTCTCTGAAGAATTCACAACATTGACGGCTTCAACGACGCTGTGCCACTCTGTGGATTTTCTTTTATTTGTTTTGCAAAAGCACTTCCTTTCATTTCTCCACCTCACCCACAAGTACCTCAATTTCTTCTTCTGTGAAATAGCGCTTCCTTGATCTGCGGTCGCCATCGTTAATGGTGAAATGCTGCAACGAGCTGGCTTATGTATATGCATGAGACCCACAAGGCACTTTGCATTGACTATTTATGGCAGTAAGTGGGCGTGTTGAAGGTGGGATGTGATCAAAAAACAGCTGAGCACATTCCTAGTTAGTTTGTGATTTATGAAGCGGAGATTGCGTGAAGCTGTGTGTACTCCATGTTTTATAGATCACAAACCTACTTGGCGTAAGTGCATTTCTTCTGCTGAGCTTAAGTACGGTTTTAGTAAGGATTCTTCGCAATGTTTTATAAATGAGACCCCTGGTGGTTTTGCCTGAATTACAAAGTCAGAGGTGCGTATGTTTATGTTAATGTGTATTTATTTGGCAGACGCTTTTATCCAAAGCGACTTACAATTTATAACCTATAGGGCATGTTGTGATCTGTGGGGGAAACCGGAGTACCCGGAGGAAACCCACGCATGCATGGGGAGAACACGCAACTCCACGCAGAAAGGCCGCAGCCTGGTTTTGAACCTGCAACCTTCGTGCTGCGAGGCAACAGTGCTAACCACTGCGCCACCATGCAGCCAACCTACCAGAGTACCTACAGACAACTTTGGAACAGGTCTAATTTGACACCATCTCCCAGAACACCAAGCATATGCTGGTGTCTTGGTTCCAGATAATTCTCAGATCCTGAGAGATCAAGAGGAGTCCAGTGTTTGGACTTGGGTGAAGCCAGTCATTGTGTTTTGGGTCAGCAGTTCTCTGGCCCTGTTTGATTCTATCCACCTGGGTCAGCTCTTTCATGCAAGGGCTCAGGGGGGCTAGAAATATAGTTAATAGAACAACGTTACAACAGAAGTAGTTTCAAAATCAACATCTTCAGTCCAGATCAAGTCCAGATTTGGATCCAAGAAAGAGGGCTCCAGTAGAACCAGAACCAGACTGGGATCTGAGGAGACATGAAGGAACAGAGACAGAATAGACTGAGTTATAGTTTGGGATTTCAATTATTCATAAATTATTTTAATAAAAAGTCCATATGGAGAAGCCACTCATTATATCTCCTGCCTGCTTCTGCTGAAATGCAACCAAACATTTTCTGTTTCAGATGCGTAGAATCATAGGAGACTTTGGTGTTCCCATTGCAATCCTCATCATGGTTCTTGTGGACTATAGCGTGGAGGATACCTACACCCAGGTCAGGGTGGAGTACATTCTGGGTCAGACCCAGAGGCCTACATGTAAACTGAGGTCAGATCTCAAGTGAACACTTTTCCTTCATTGTGACCCACAGAAACTTAACGTGCCCAGTGGATTCTCCGTGTCTAGTCCAGAAAAACGAGGATGGCTGATCTCCCCTCTGGGTTTAGATGGACAGTTCCCAATTTGGATGATGGGTGCTAGCATCCTGCCAGCTGTTCTGGTCTTCATTCTCCTCTTCATGGAGTCCCAGATCACAGCGTAAGACAATTTTCTCTAAAGACATAACCTCAGCCTAACCAGTTGGACTCAGCGTGCTGCTTAGTTGAGGTTCCTGTTGGTCACTGTACTGTAGCACCAAACTCTAGGTCTTGGTTGTCCCTCATTTCCAGTTGATCTTTAATTCACAAAGTTTATAATGAACAAGTTGGACAATAACCATTTACAGGTGGTTCAGAATGCCTGTGCTCATCTTCTGACCAAGTCCTCCAAACTTACCCACGTCACCCCGCTTCTCCTCACCTATGGTCTTGGTTTGATTTTTAAGAAACATTGGTGTCATTTTTACTGCTATGCCGATGATACCCAGGTATATGTGCCTTTTAAGAGGGGCCACAATCATGCTTTGCAGTTTCTTTTAGATTGTCTCTTTGAGGTTCAGCAATGGATGTTCTCTAGCTTTCTACTTTTTAATGATAGAAAGGCAGAGGTTGTAGTCTTTGGCCCAAGTACATTGTCTAGGGTGGGTGCAGTGGACCTCGGTCAGCTTTCCCCGTTCTTAAAACTGAGTGTGACTTCCCTGGGTGTTGTACTGGATGGGGATCTTGTCTTGGACAGGCAGATCAGTGTGGTGACTAAATCTAGTTTTTATGGATCACCAAAGTAAAGACCTTGCTGTCAAAAAAGGATTTAAAAAAAGTATTTCATGCTTTTATTACATCAAGGCATAATTACTGTAATTCTTTGTACCCTGGTGTTTGACAATCCCACCTCTCACGTCTTCAGTTGGTGCAGAATGCTGCTGCACGGCTGCTCACTGGGACGAAAAAGATGGAGCATGTCACTCCTGGCCTGGCCTCACTGCACTGGCTGCCTGTTCATTTTAGAATCCAGTACAAGGTGCTTTTATGGGCTTTTAATGCGTGCATGACCTTGCTCGAGATTACCTCTCTGAGCTGCTGCTTTTTTACTCCCCTGTACGGTCTCTGGGGTCGGCTGATGCTCCTGGAAGTAGGGTGACCAGATCCCAACTTGCCAAATGTGGGACAACGTGAAGGTCCAATGTAATGAGAAAAAAAACCACGTCTATTCTGCCTTTTAGCCCCAACATCACTGTTACATATATATATATATATATATGTATATATATATATATATATATATATATATATATATTTCATATATTTCTTGTATACATTTTATTTGAATTCAAAATTAAGAAGCATACAACAAAAGCTTTACTGTTTCACAGATCCTCTCAAGTTACCACAACATAACTCTGTAGTGGCTCTGATCATTTTAATAATGCAGATAGACCCACAATAATAAAAACATGCAGGTTTAAGCAGCTTTTCAGCATTTTCATTGAATGTTTTCCACAACAGAATGACCAGTAATATATTTTAGATCTATTTATGTTTGTTTTTAACTAATTTTCCTCTTAAATCAACATCTCATAGAAAAAATATCCATACTTTTTTGCTATTTTTTTCATAATTCAGAAACAAAACATTTTATTTGACATGACAAGAAATCTCTTCTAATTTTAGGTGAGAGAATAAACATCCAATTCTAATCTCCAAAAATTTCAGATCTAATCTAATAAAAGTTTTCTCAAATTTCTGAGAATAAGTAATGAAGGCTTCCATTTATTCTCATTATTTCTTCACGGTGCTTTAAGGGGCTCAACATGTACGCATGTATCTGAAACCGCAGCACCTTGTCTGTGTTAGAGCCTCCATTGTTTGCATCATGGACCTGTCTAATTACTGGAAACCCTGCTTTTGACCTCTTCATATCAGACTCCGCGCCGAGACATGAAAGAATGACTCCGAAACAACAAAGACTCTGTCGAGTATCTCTGAACATGTTTAAATCACAAGTTTACAGCATTTTCTCCTCCGTGCCCACTCACGCTTGTTTTGGTGGTACGGGCGTGCTCCACACACGCTCCGGATCTGCGTTAAAGTCCCACCTCTGTTTGATTGACAGCAACAGGCAGATTTTTCCACAGTTTCTTCAGTAAGATAAAAACTCGAAACGGGAAACTGTCAATAATGCGGGACATGAGTCTCAATTTGCGGGACACGTTAAAAAGTAATGAAAATGCGGGACTGTCCTGCACAAAGCGGGACATCTGGTCACCCTACCTGGAAGTCCCAAAACCAGACGTAAGCTTCTCTGTAGTGGCCCCTAGGCTCTGTGATGAGCTGCCGTTGAGCGTTAGGTCGCCACTTCTCCATCTGGTTTTAGATCTCTTTTGAAAACCTGTTTTTATGATGTGGCTTTGAACTCAGCACAAGTCTTTTTAGTGTTGCTTCTTAAGCTTTAGTCTTTATGCATGTTTATGTTGTGTATTGTTTTAACGTTTTATTTCTGTGAAGCACTTCGGTCGGTTTTAAACTGTTGTAAGGTGCTACACAAATAAAGCTGCCTTTCCTCCTCCAGCTTCACTGGCTGCCAGTCAACTTCAGGGTTCATTTCAAGATCCTGGTTCTGGTCTACAGGTGCTGGCCAGTAAATTAGAATATCATCAAAAGGTTGAAAATATTTCAGTAATTCCATTCAAAACGTGAAACTTGTACATTATATTCATGCAATGCACACAGACCAATGTATTTCCAATGTTCATTACATTTAAATTTGATATTTATAGGTGACAACCAATGAAAACATCAAATCTGGTATCTCAGAAAATTAGAATATTCTAAAGGCCAATGAAAAAATGTTTGTTTCTCTAATGTTGGCCAACTGAAAAGAATGAACATGAAAAGAATGTGCATGTATAGCACTCAATACTTAGTCGGGGCTCCTTTTGCCTCAATAACTGCAGTAATGCGGCGTGGCATGGACTCGATCAGTCTGTGGCACTGCTCAGGTGTTATGAGAGCCCAGGTTGCTCTGATAGTCGTCTTCAGCTCCTCTGCATTGTTGGGTCTAGCGTATTGCATCCTCCGCTTCACAATACCCCATAGATTTTCTATGGGGTTAAGGTCAGGCGAGTTTGCTGGCCAATCAAGGACAGGGATACCATGGTCCTTGAACCAGGTGCTGGTGGTTTTGGCACTGTGTGCAGGTGCCAAGTCCTGTTGAAAGGTGAAGTCTGCATCCCCATAAAGTTGGTCAGCAGCAAGAAGCATGAAGTGCTCTAAAACTTCCTGGTAGACGGCTGCATTGACCCTGGACCTCAGGAAACAGAGTGGGCCAACACCGGCAGATGACATGGCACCCCACACCATCACTGACGGTGGAAACTTTACACTGGACCTCATGCAACGTGGATTCTGTGCTTCTCCGCTCTTCCTCCAGACTCTGGGTCCTTGATTTCCAAAGGAAATGCAGAACTTGCTTTCATCAGAAAACATAACTTTGGACCACTCAGCATCAGTCCAGTCCTTTTTGTCCTTGGCCCAGGCGAGACGCTTCTTGCGCTGTTTCTTGTTCAAGAGTGGCTTGACACACGGAATGCGACACCTGAATCCCATGTCTTTCATGAGTCTCCTCGTGGTGGTTCTTGAAGCGCTGACTCCAGCTGCAGTCCACTCTTTGTGGATCTCCCCCACATTTTTGAATGGGTTTGTCGTCACAATTCTCTGCAGGGTGCGGTTATCCCTAGAGCTTGTACACTTTTTTCTACCACATTTTTTCCGTCCCTTCGCCTGTCTGTTAATGTGCTTGGACACAGAGCTCTGCGAACAGCCAGCTTCTTTAGCAATCACCTTTTGTGTCTTGCCCTCCTTGTGCAAGGTGTCAATGATTGTCTTTTGGACAGCTGTTAAGTCAGAAGTCTTCCCCATGATTGTGGTGCCTTCAAAACAAGACTGAGGGACCTTTTAAAGGCCTTTGCAGGTGTTTTGAGTAAATCAGCTGATTAGAGTGGCAGCAGGTGTCTTCTATATTCAGCCTTTTCAGAATATTCTAATTTTTTGAGATACCAAATTTGGAGTTTTCATTAGTTGTCACTTATGAATATCAAATTTAAATGTAATGAACATTGGAAATACATTGGTCTGTGTGCATTGCATGAATATAATGTACAAGTTTCACGTTTTGAATGGAATTACTGAAATATTTTCAACCTTTTGATGATATTCTAATTTACTGGCCAGCACCTGTATAGGGCCTTACATGGACAAGCACCATCGTACATTGGTGATTTTCTCAGTCACACCCCCAGGAGGTCCCTGAGGTCCAGTGACCAAAGCCTACTGGTTGTGCCGTACCAGACCAAAGGTGACAGATCATCTGCTGCTGTGGTCCCCAAACTCTGGACCTCTCTCCCCCTGAGCCTGAGATCAGTGGACTCAGTGGTCTCCTTTAAACTCACCTGTTCAGGCTTTGGTGGGACCTTCATCACCTCCCTCTCCTGGTTCTGCTCTTTCTACCAACTCTGCCTTTCCCGGGATCCACTGAATTCACTCTTTATTATTCATTTTCTCTTTTCCTTTCCCATTTGCCCAGAAGTTGTATGGAAACTGGAACACCTCCATACTACATTCACTGTGACACATGCTTTAGGAGATGCTCCAGGTCCTTGTGAGCATCTGGGTCCTGGTGATGCTCCAGGTAGTGACCAGGCTTTGGGAAAACCTGGTCTGATGCAAAGAGATGACATCCATCCCACTTTGAATGGAGCAGCTCTTCTTTCTAGGAATATGGCCAATTTTATTAGTCCTCTATGACAACCCAGGGTCCAGACCAGGAAGCAGAGTCATAGTTTAACACACCCCTCTGCAGCTTCAGTACTGTGACCCACCCACTACCCCATTGAGACAGTGTCATGCCCACGGCTAAAACCACACAGATTAGATATCAGGCTTAATAAAGCAAATCATGGAAATCTCATAAATATTGGAACAAATGCAACTGAGCAGGAAATTAGAAAAATTAAATGTGGGTTATTGAACATTAGGTCTATGTTTTAACCTGTTTAACCCTAACACCCCCAATTGGGGGCCTCTACAGTTTCATGTCCCAAACATCTACAACTGTCCATGTTCTCCAAACACAACTAAAACCACAATCAAACAGCACAGATGGGA